TAATATATTGATATTGTTTATTTGATGATTATTAATATTTATTAGTATAAAGGATGTGACATGCATAAATAAAACTTGTATTTGTTGAAGTGATGTTGTCACATGAAAATTGAAAGGAATTGGTCGCATTGCTCCTCGCATAAGAAGTCATACATGTTATTTTAACAAGTCTAAAATACATAATTTTCTTTTAATTAAAAGATCCCGTCAAACTAATTTGTATAACTATGAATAACATACTATATAAAAAAAAAAATACTTTGCTAGACAATATATGATATAATTAAATTCTCTTGAAAAACTATATTTAACAAAAATCTGAACATATACGGAGGAAGAAAAATATACCTTTTAGCGTTTTCCAAAATGATTTGTTTGAGGACGGCCAAGCCGTATCAACCCTAATATGAAAAGGGTTGGTAGCCATAGCCTGGAAGAATATACAACGCATCATTCATATTCATACACAAATCCTGAAATCTATGGAGAGAACGCACCATTCTCCTTACACCAACCACCAAACAACAAGCACACCACAAAGCAACCACACATACTCCGACTCCGGTGAGGGCTGTGAAGTCGAGGATAAGTGGGCACCACGACTTCTTCGAGAGTGTGCTCGAGCCATCTACGTAAAAGACTCAGCCAAGATCAACCACCTTTTATGGATGTTGAATGAGCTATCTTCGCCTTATGGTGATTGTGATCAGAAACTAGCTTCGTACTTCTTGCAAGCACTGTTTTGCAAGGCTACGGAGTCTGGACCAAGATGCTACAAGACCTTGGTTTCGGTTGCTGACAAGAGCCACTGCTTTGATTCTGCCAGAAAACTCATACTTAAATTCCAGGAGGTTTCTCCTTGGACTACTTTTGGCCATGTTGCATCAAATGGTGCTATATTGGAGGCCTTTGACGGTGAGACCAAACTTCACATAATTGATATAAGTAACACACTTTGCACCCAATGGCCTACTTTGCTGGAAGCTTTAGCGACTCGGAGCGACGAAACTCCTAGCCTAAAGCTCACTGTAGTTGTCACAGCCAGCTTAGTGAGATCTGTTATGAAAGAAATCACTCAAAGGATGGAGAAATTTGCTCGTTTGATGGGTGTTCCCTTTGAATTTAACGTAATTACTGGATCAAATCGGTTACTAGGACAACTTACCAAAGAAGAGTTAGGTGTCCACGAAGATGAAGCTATTGCGGTGAATTGTATTGGGGCATTAAGAAGAGTTGAGGTTGAAGAAAGGGAAGATGTGATTCGGCTATTCAGCTCTCTAAAGCCTCGAGTCGTGACCATAGTTGAAGAAGAAGCTGATTTTGCAAGCTCCCGAAGTGACTTCGCCAAGTGCTTTGAAGAGTGCTTAAGGTACTACACTTTGTACTTTGAGATGTTAGAAGAGAGTTTTACTCCCACGAGTAACGAGAGGTTGATGTTGGAGAGGGAGTGCTCACGGAGCATCGTCAGGGTCTTGTCTTGCGATGACACACAGAATATCGGCTCTGGAGACTGTGAGAGGAGGGAGAAAGGAAACCAATGGTGCCAGAGGCTAAAGGAGCAATTTTCCCCAGTAGGTTTTAGTGATGACGTGGTGGACGATGTAAAGGCCTTGCTTAGAAGGTACCGGGCCGGATGGTCTCTTGCCCTTGATCAAATTGGTTCGAATACAGACTCAGGAATCTACTTGGCTTGGAAAGAAGAACCAGTTGTCTGGGCTTCAGCTTGGAAACCCTAATCAAGAAACGACCATGTGAATTGAGTTGGATTTCGGTGATAAAAGAGAGTTAAGGTGAGAAGCGTAAGAAGAGATCTTCACATTTGGATGCAGATTAGGATGAGATGCACCGGATCAATCCCCGTTTCAAACGCGGTTTATGGGTGAGTTTCAGATTAAAGCTGATCAAGGGTTCAGATCTCTTCTTACACTTTTCATTTTAACTCTGCCTCTCACACGATCCTTCGCCGTGAAATCAAATCTTTATACGCAACGAGGTTGGCTGAGATCCTATAATTATAGGTTCCTTGAAATGCTCACCGGTTCTAACACTTGAAGGGTGGAGATAGATAGGGGAAGACATAGTCTTCTGTTATATATCTACTAGTTGTGTACCCGTGCAATGCGACGGGAACCATGAATTTTAACGATTTTGAAGTTTCACTCGTTTTATAAGATATGATTTAACGATGATATATGTTACACTTGGTTTTTTACATATTAATACAATTTGAATAAATAAGAGTTATGGTTCCAATTACAGACTATCGCTGAAAAAAATTGTATGACAGTTTAAAATCCAACATATTTAAACGACTCCACAAATGTGTTCGATTTACATCTAGAGCAAAGAATCAATAAACTTGAGTTTTAAGATAAACACTCAAAACCAATAAAGAAAACTACAAATTTGACAGATCATAAGCAATGAAAAGATCAAAAAATATGGGTTTTAGAATGAAATTTCAACTGTTTACCCTCTTTCTTGTCCAGAACTCAGATTAGGGTTGAATTAATACATGTATATATATTTCAAAAAAACCCAACATATTAAGTCAGAACATATTATACAGTGCAATTTGGACAGCCTAACCCCAAAATATATAGTATATATATATATAAATAAATAACTATAAAAATATAAATCGTAAATATTAAAAATATTTTTTCACAGTATATATAATAATATAATTAAGTAAAAAACTATTCAATATTGGACTCATTTCGAAAATATTAACGAGACGATTATAATGGTGTAACTTGTTAAAATAAAAATGTATTTTTTAAACATGTTTTAATTGATATACGATTATGTATATTAATTTGATAAAAGTTTAAAATGAAACATTTAAAAGTAAAGGACGTAAAGTAAATTAATTAACTAATTATAGGAGTATAAAGTGTAAATTTAAAATTATAATTTTAAAAAATCGGTTGTGAGAGAGTGAGTGTATGTGAGAGGGTGAATGTATGTAAGGAAAGGAGGGGGTGAAAAAGTAATATAAATGGTATCTTGGTCATTTAATATTTTAAAATTTTAAGCCTTTTATTAAATTTGTTTTATATACATATACATAGACTAAGAGTACGAAATAGAGTAACTTTATCAAGATCATTAAGTATAGTCTTTTGCTAGCACTTTTTGTTGTGGATAGTTTCTGCATTGATTTCTTGCTTTTAGCTTTTCTTAATGCCGTAATGTGTTTGGCACTTGTGCTTTCCATTTTATGTTTGTTGGTGTGTTTTCAGTTTTCTTTGAAGGCCTTTTCCAGTGATGCATGTATCTTCTACAAAATTTGACACATTTTCACTCGACATGTTATATTTAAAATAAAAGCAAATTGTGTGAATATGGAATGTATTTTGTTTGATAAGGATTTTTTGCTTACAAACTTCTATACCTTCCAATGTTGTCTTTTATAGTATGCACCCTCAATTGCATTGAAGATATGATACAATCTTTTAATTATATATAAAAAACAAACTCTTGTTGCAATGTATGAAACCATACCTCTAAGTTAGCTTCATCTTTAATTCTTTTCTTAACCAATGTCACATCTTCTCATAGTTGTTGCTCATTTGGCTCATTCCATTTTTTTCCTCAATCATGGGCATGCTCTTGCTCAAATCCACTGTGTCAGATACCCAAGACTAATGTTTTTAGGTCCTAACACCATTGATTGGGCATCCTTACCCGCTTCAGGGATCAGAAGCAACCATATCTTTTGGGTTTAAGGGGGCATTTAACAAACTCTTATTGGGTCATGTTAACTTATCGAATGAATATGGCAAGACCAAAAATCTTACTCGGCAAGAGTGAAGGCAAGGATGAGAGTCTTACCCCGAGTGAGGGCGATGACTCTTACCATGGTTATCGCTTACCGGGTAAATAGTTGCATACTATACCGTTTTGGTGGACTAAATCTTACACGGTTGACTTTGACCCGCAAACGTTTATGGGGATAAAGGTTTAGTAAATATCCCCTAATTAAACAAGTAATATGATATTATGCCAACTATTTTATAAATAAATTATGGTGAATCAAATAACAAGATTAAAATAGTAAGATATATCTTATGATAATTGGTTTGTTATCTCCTGAATGTTATCACGTAACTTGTATGCTCGATCACTTATGCGAACTCTTTGAGCCAACAAACAGTTTCTTATTGCTTGTTCGAAGTCAAGTATATATACACACTAGACGACTCGTCGGACTTCAATTCTTTTGCACCACACTCTTTTCGTTATGAGATACCCACACGATCCTAAATTGTGGGAACTAATTCTTGTTTTTGCACACATTCTCCCAAAAGAATAACTATGATAGATTGACAACAATTCAACATTACAATAACAACAGACATTTGGGAAGTTCCAACTTCACAAAACTTGAATTTTAACATTGATTTTAGGGCAAGGAAGTTAACCTATGTAAGATCATCAAGATATGGATATATTTGGCATAGGTTTAGCACTAGTTTCATGAACTTGTTAGTAAGATTCTTCTTGAAGCTTTTCCATGGAATATTATGATTTCTAAACATCTACTTACTCGGCTCATTATATAGCGACTATATTTAAATGACTTCGTTTTTCAAAAATAAGCCAATTAAGTTGAATTTATTTCTAATAATTTACTTAAAACACATATCATAAGATTATATATTATACCTTGATAGCAAACCACAATTGATCCATTCCATTATCACCTACATTGTCTCAAGATGGAGTGAGGATACAGTCTGTTTGTAGTCTCTACTCCCACTTAACAAGAGTATTTTACAGCAACCCTATAGTGTTGGTGGAATTCGACATGCCATTTTACTATTTGGAATGAGGTTTACACTTCTCTTCTTCCAAGCATGAGAAACCGATGAGTATTACTTATATTGATAATTCAATGTAATTTTCCAACTTCTGCCTTGTGTTTTGCATCATTAAATGGATGATTTGAATCTTTTTCTTTATTATTTTACATCTTTCTTTGTTGTGGAACTTGAAAGTGGAAACAGAACTAGACTTTGGGATAAATATCAGAAATGTGGAGATAAGATGCCGCAACACAATACACAGGCAGTAGAGTGATTTCCTTTTGATGGTGGGGAGAATCTTTGTGAATTTGGAGCTGCAAAGGGAGATTCCTCCAACTATTTTTGGATCGGGAAAAGCTGAAAAATATTTTATGTAATATCCCAAGATTTGAAGTCATCATGTTGTCTTCTTAAAACTTATACATGTAATATCCCAAGATTGAAGTCATCATGTTGTCTTCTTAAAACTTATATAAATATGCCATCACTTGTTCCATCTTAGAGCATCTCCAATTGTAAAAATAATGACTTGATGAAAATGTTAAGAAGCACTTGACAAAACACTTAATTGTTAAAAGCAATAACTTGAACAAAGACTTGACATCCAAAAGCTTGGGGGATGTCGAAGTGTTTGAAAATTGAAAGAATGTTATTGATCCTCTCTCTCGTTGATTTGATGATAATCCATTTTTACCTATTACGAAGTATTATGTTTCTGTTCTTTCAGTTACAGCGATCGTCACTGAGTCTGTTCAGTGATCGTTGAAACATGTACTGTAAATACTACAGGGACACGATACTTCGAGAAGACAAAACTCACACCAAAGAACCTTCAGCGACAGTCGAAGACTGAAACTGAAGATTAGTGACTGGCGCGTTCGTGATCTGAAGCGGCATTCAGTGATTACAACTTGGTCAACATATGTGTGAAGAGTTGCCAAGCCTCAGCAAATGCTGAAGAGACATTTAGTGTTATTCCAGCAGTCAGTGATCAAATGAAGCTTGTTGTGCAAGATTCTTTTTGTCTTCTCCTTCCACACACAAAGAACAAACCCATACCCTTTCTAGAGTATAGTACGGTATGAAGCCGACTAGTTGACTCTATTACCCACTAACTCCATGAAAGGATATCTGCTTATGAATAGACTTTTGTACTATTCATTGTAGCAAATGGCAAACTTTTCTTTAAAAGCTTGACGCGTGTTCAAACCCTACTACATTGCATTAGATGTACATTTAATGCAATGAGTATAAATAGATGAGTGCTCTCTCCATGCAGATATACGTGGAACGTGAAAAACACACACGCATCTAAAAGAACACTTACGCTTATCTTCAAGCAAGTTAGAATCCCTCTAAAGTATCCTAAAAGTTCTTACCCAAGAAGAACTTTTTTCTTTCTTTATATTTCAGCAAATCTTCTCTTTGCTAAAAAAATCTGTGTGTAAACTTAGATAGGTTATCTTTACCTTGTCAATTTCCGCATACAATCTGTAAAAATCTGTATTGATCTTTCTTTATCAATATATATATTTTTAAATTTGAAAGTTCTCTGTGTTTGTATTCATCCCCCTTTCTACAAACTATTTCTATAAAACTCTTGTCACCCAACCAGGACCAACAAGTGGTATCAGAGCAGTGTTTTTCTTCTCTTCTTGTGTAGTTGTTTTTCTACATTTTATTATCTCTATTTCTCTAGATAATTTACTTCTTTCAAATGGCTTTGCAAAACACAAGTACAAAATTTCACGACAATGGCCCCCTTGCCAAACCTCCCTGATTTATCAGAGATAACTTCAGTCTCTCGAAGAATCGGATGTCTCTCTTCTTGGAGGGTGTGGATCCTGAAATTTCACACTATATAGAAAATGGACCATATGTTCCATATGCTATATCTCCGGTTGTTCCTGAAACAACTACGACTG